GGGTTAGAGGCCCCTTTTCGTTAGGAATATAGCAACTTCCATCTCATAATATTACTAAATATCAGAATTACAGTGGATTATTAATTTTTTTAAAAAATTTTGAAATGTAAAGGAGCGTCTTTTGTCTGAAAGCAAATTTTTATACCAGAAGAAGCTTCTTTCAGCGTCTACTGATGTTATTGGTGCGTATTTGAAAAGGACGGTCACACTTACTGACAATTCTTCTTCAATTTGAAAAGATATTGCTTCATCTTTTAATATCCTAGAGATTTTCTTCATTGTTTGGAAGCCAGTGTAATAATCAAAAATAATAAAAATTAGAAAAACATTAACAAAAAATTTAAAAAATTCTTTAAAATGCAAAATACGTCCCAAAATTTAAAGAAAATGCCCTATAAATCACAAAAAATGCTCTAAAGGACAAAAAATGTCAAAAAATGCAAATGTCATCAAAATCTGGGCCTTATTAATAACAAAATATATCTGACCAGATAGAGAAATCCTAGAAGTTTGATTTAGACAATCTGGAAAAGTCATATTTCCCAGTTCAGGGTTTGTGGATACCTGGATTGAATGTTTAACCTCAATACCCAATTTTGTAAAATTTATCTCTGAAAAATATCAACAGAAAAACCAGTAATCAAATTTCACAATAGGTTTTTTTCTTGTACATTATTTCGAGTAATGTAACTTTGAAGTTGTGGTAATCTGAACTTGTTTCTATCGGAACTTATCTGAAACTAAACTGCAATAGTAAATTCTTGGTGTTAATAATTGCTGCTTTTTTTTTTTAATTTGCATACCTATAAATTAATGTTTTTATATGCTTACTAAATTTTCTTTTTTCAGGAAAAGAAGCAAGCCACGCCACAATCAGGATTCTCTTTTGGTACTCCTTCTCAGGACGCCATGAATCAGAATTTCCAACCTCAATTTAATATTAGTACTCCGCAATCTTTCAATTTTGGGGCTACTTCTTCAGCCGGACCATTTCAGTTTGCGTAAGTATACTTCTGTAAAAGTATAAAGTGTACTGCTTCTTCCTTCAAATAACATGTATTTCTTATGTATTAAATCATTTTTATTTACTTATTTGTGCATGAGTTTTTTTTCTTCATATCTTATTATTTAATGAATATGATTGCAATTTGTCAAAATGCTCTGTTTGATTATTTTTCCACAAATACTTAGTTTATAAATTAATTTTTCATTCATTTACATGTATATTTTTAAATTAGTTTCTATACTATTTCTACTTTCTTTTTATTTATTTATTTCAAATTAATGCTAAAGCTTTAAAATAAAGTATCATCAAATGGCAGACTGGGTTGAAAATAAATGCAAAAAAATTTATTCTTTAATTAGAAATTACTTATATTTAAACACAACAGTTTTGATAGGCTTCAAAACATGTATTTATTAAATTTATTATACTAGTTCACTAAATTTATGAATAAAAATAAAATTAAACATTTACTTTTAATTAACTTTTTAATTTCTCTAAATGGTTGTGTGACTTTCTATCCTAGAAGATTTTTGTCTACTTTAGCTATTTTTCTGTCAAAGGAAAGTGTTCCCGCAACAGCCCTTTGTTGTGCAGGAGGTTAAAGCTCCACAATTTTGTGACCAGCGGCATGATTATGGCACTGTGATCAAAACTGTGCACAGGCTGCCCCCCCCCCCCCNGCCCCCCCCCCCCCGACAAGCTGGTACCCATCGATCTGAAATTGTCTGGGCTTCAACCCACCACCAGGGATCATGGGTGCAAGTCTTCCGTCCCCAGGACGGATTTCCGTCTTTCGAAAGTGTCCGCGGATGGAAGTAAGACGGAAACAAGACTGACTCGAAGACGGAAATAGGAATTTTTTTTTTCTGTCCTTACAAATATTTTTTAGGTCTACGTTATTGGTCTACTTTCTTTGTTGTTATTTTACAGGGATGAAAGACTTCCGCAGAAATCCGCTTTTTTTCTCCCAATTTTCAAAAATTTCCGACCATGTTCCAAAAACTAAAATTTTTGGAGAGTTCAACTAAAGAACCCAAGCCGCCCAAACGATAGTTGGATTACCGCGACTTCCGCTATAGAGTGGAAAGGAGTCTAAGCGTTTCGTTTCTGACCACCGTTATTTGATTTCTTTTGTTTGGCTGATTTTCCGAATTTTAAATGTTAGGAACTGCTCCGGAATTTGCTAAAATTGCGATTTTTAATCAGACGATTTTAATATCAATCATCGATTTTCGTATTTAACTGATTTAAAAGTTACGTGCTGCGATTTTTTTTTTACGCTATTTAAAACTCGTACTAGCAATTCCTATTCACTCAATTTAAATATTCAATATCGCGCTTTGTGTTTAAGCGTTTTTAAAACCCAATATCTTGATTTGTATTCTTGCGAGTTTAAAATCCGTCACAATTCGTATTCACGCATTTTTGAATCCAATATTTCAATTCATTATCACGCAGTTGTATCGTTTTTCGTATTTGTACGCTATTTAAAAACTACTCATTGCAATTCGTTTTGGCGTGATCTAAAAATTATGCATCGTTATTCTTAATTACGCGATTTAAAATTCAATATCACAATTTGTATTTAAGCGGTTTTAAAACCCAATATCGCTATTTGTATTCTCGCGAGTTTAAAATACAATGTCGTGATTCGTATTCACTCATTTTTAAATCCAATATTTCGATTCATTATCACGCAGTTGTAATATCAGATATCGTTTTTCGTATTTGTACGCTATTTAAAAATTACTCATTGCGATTCGTATTCACGTGATCTGAAAATTCTGCATCGTGATTCTTAATTACGCGATTTAAAAATTCAATACCGCAATTTGTACTTTCGTGGTTTTAAAATCCAACAGCGCGATTCATATTCACGTGATTTTAAAATCCAAAATCTCGATTCTTATTCGCGCAATTATAAAATCCAATATCGCGATTCATGTTCACGCGATTTTAAAATCCAACCTCAGAATTCATATTCAAGTGATTTTATATTCCAAAATTGCGATTCATATTCACGCAATATTAAAATCCAATATCGTGATTTGTATTTTCGTGTTTTTAAAATCCAACAGCTTGATTCATATTTGCGCGATTTTAAAATCCAACCGCACCATTCATATTCACGCGATTTTAAAATCCAATATCGCGACTCATATTCACGCGATTTTAAAATCCAATATCGTGATTCTTCAAAGAAGTAGAAGTAAGTTTTTTCTTGAATTAGTTACTGTAAAGATGTGGTATATGTTTCATTAGTAAGCAATTTAATAGTTGTGCCTTCCTATAATTGCTTGATTTTTTTTGATATGGTAGTCAAAATTTTAAAATTCTATTTCGGAAAAATTTGAAGTTAACTGTCTAAATGCTTCTGCCACTTTAAATATTAAATAAGAATCTCCCAGCATAGTTAAAAGTTGCTTTTATAATTCTCAGTATCATATAGAGCCCCCCCCCCCCTCCCCGTCCTCCCAGTGACCTGCTTTAACAGTTTTTACCAAAAGACAGATGAATAAATATTTTTTTTACAGTATTTAAACTTGATGTATTATGGTAAAGCTTTCTTAGATAGTTTGCATATGTCGAGGGGGTATTGTGCATGTTAGGTATTTCAGTCAAAAAATTTTCAGTCTTGGCCTTTTTTCCAACTTGCACCCATGCCAGGGATGAACCTCAGTTCTTCACAATCACAGTTCAGTGCCTTAACTATTGAGCCATCGCGACTCTGTTATATGTTTGTTTTGTATTTTGGGATTTAAAACTTTTTTTGACAGTTCAGGAAATTTCTGCATATTACGAAAGGAGTAGTTTTTGTATTTATTTCCCAGCTCCAGAAAAAAATTTAACTTTGCTCATCCTTTTCCTCCTTAATGCTGAAGTGTTAGTGATTCAAAATAATCTGAAACTTATGTTTTCACCAAAAAGTTTTTTATTTTTCTTCACAGATCCAATCCAGTTTCACGATTTTGATCTAACACAAAGTTTTAAAAAATATAGAAAGACTGTAGTGTTTAAAATCGAATTCCTTTTAAAAGAAGAGATTAGATGTTGCTAATTATAAATATTATCATTTCTACAAAAAAAATTTAAAAATCTTAAATCTAAGGAGATTAAACCATTTCTATTTGAACCATTGTAACGTTGTGTCTTCTTAACGAATAAAATTACTTTCTCATTATGTCACACAACCAGTGTTCCTAATTTGAATTTTTTTCAAGTACAGTACAATATTTTTCAAAAATAGGTAATAGTTGATTTTGTTATGATTATTAACAGGGTGTTATTTGTATTGGTGGAAAATTTTAACTTTTAAGAGGCCCGTACTCTCCTGACGGCCGTACTCAACTATTAAAAGGGCCATGTAACGTCTAAATATGCTTTTAATCCTTTTTATGTAATATTTACAAATAAACTGATGATGGATCTTTACTATCTCTTATTCATTTACATACTGGAGGGCTCTAATACTTTTTTCTTTCTCAAAGTTTATATTAAATATTTTTGATCTAAATAATATGGTGTTTATCATTCTGTTCACTTATATCTGAATATTTTTATTTTGTTCTATTAAGTTTTAATGAAAATTATTTTATTTATATTTCAGAGCAAGTAGTGACAGTTCTCAAGCAACATCAGCAGGGCCACGTAAAATTCGAAAAGCTTTCAGACGAATGAAATAGCAAGTTACAAACAATGCTTCAAGCTTTTAATAGAAGAATTTATATAAAAATAAACAAACCACGAGGTGCCTGAAAGCCGTACAGTTGTGGAATTTTATTTTTAACGTGACATAATGCAAAGAAATACACACAAAGACATACTGGAATTTTTTAACATTCAAACAGAAGACATAAATGAATTATACTTGTTACAAATTCCACCTCTTTGACGGTACACATACACACACTGCGTTCCATATCAGTCGCGTGTGTACAATTGTGAAAGAAATTTTAGATTTCTTCACGCAAAGAATTTGTTAATTGTAAATAAACTGCATTGCTTTTCTTTCTTTCTTTTTTTAGAAATGATAATGAACTCTCAGGATGGTATTTTTTTTTTAAATTAATTTTTCTAAAAATTCCAAGATTGTAAATTGAAAACATGAAGTTTCTGTACCTTATGTTTGATTCTAGAATTTTTTTTTTTTTTTTTTAATTGAAAAATAGTTTCAAATTTATACTTCTCATTTTTAAAGAACTGAAGAATTACCTTGATTGAAACAATGACGAGGTCTTAGTTGCTCCTATTTGACAAAAATTCCCAAAAATATCAATTTCTGTATGTTGTATAAATGAAATTGTTTATGAAATGTGTTGTTTCACCGTTAGTGCATAATTCAAGTTAGATTGATCGAGAGTTTACCTAATAAAAAATTGAGTATCAACCATAATTATGTATGTTGTGTTTATGCAGAATGAAATGTAACAAGAAAACATAATTATGTTTTTATGTGTGTTTGATACTATTTTAATCTATTTAAATGTGAGTTACAAAATAATTTTAATTTTTCATCACCATAAATATTTTTTTTTCTGCATGGATATATATATATTAGGAAGTGTTGTGCCATATTATTTTTAAAATGATTTATTGGGTGAAAATAATCAATGAGTTTTTTATAAAAAAAATTGCTTTTGTTTTTCCATTAAAATTTTTTATTTATTCTAATCTTTTATAATCAATTGAATTTCTGTGTAAAAAAGAGGGGCGATATACTTTTAAATGTGTTCCAAGTTACATTTAACTTGCATTTTTAAAAGAAGTATTTTTCATTCCAAATTTAGACTTTGGGTCTTTTTATACATAATTATCATATTTTACAAGTCACTGCAGTTCATTCAAACCATAATTTCATGTCAGGAATTTTGGTATGTATTGACCCTCTAGTCATGATCATGGCAGTACTGAAATTCATGATCATGAAATGCTTTGATTATGAAACGATCATGTTATGATAAATATGTCATGAAACTTGTTAATATCATTATTAGATTTTTTTGCTATGAAAGTTGTGAACGGTACTTCAGTTGTAAAGGTATTTCTATCGTTTAGAAGAAGAAGAAAAAGTTCATTATCATATTGTATATAATTAAAACAGACTGTAAATCATACATGTTTGTAAATTTGTTTTATTTCCACTCAAGATGCAGATGTGGTGCCGACTGTTATCTGTGAACTTTATATATTAAAGGAAAGGACTTTAATTTGAATACTACATTCTTATATATAAATTATTATATAATAAAATAAAATCTTTTAAATTATTGAGAAAAAAAAGTCCTGTGCTGAGAGCTCTCCAAGGCTTGTCATCATTGTAGCTGGATTTTAGAAAGTGAGAAATTTATTTTTGATACGGGATTGGGGAGAGTTTTGGCTTCAAGTTAGCTCTATGTTGTGTATTTTTTTTCTGTTTCTTTTTGTCTTTATTTTCATTATTGATTCAATGTTTCTCAAATAAAATTTTTCACATTATCTTGCTAATGGAGTTTTAATTATCTTTATAGAATAAGTTTTAAAAAAGTCAAGCTAATATTGTCTGCTGAAGTATTGTAAAGTATACTTCAGATTTTCATAGGATTTGGTGACGCAAATAATCAACGAAAAATGATAACGCTTAATCTGGCAGTGTTTTATCAAGTTGAAACACTTTTTTATAATTTGTAATTGAAATTTTCTAACATTTTGACATTCCATAAAGAAGATTTTGTCACTGTCAAATAAATCTGAGAATAACTGTTTGAAGTTAGTCAAAATATTGAGCTGATAAAAATTTATCTCTGATGATTGACATAATATTTTGAAGATCATATTTAAAAATAGAATATATTTTAGCATATGATGTATCTGACAACTGTTCCTAACTTTAGTTTTCTTGCCAAAAGATGAAATGTTCCAGATTTTTCATTTTAGTGAAATAAAATTAAAAATTTTGTTTAAATATAACTAGTTATAAAATCTTTTCAGTTTCAAAATTAGGATCATCTCTATGAAATATCTTATTATACACACAACTAATGATTTTTTTAATTTCAAGTAAATAACTTGTGATATCTTAAACTAAAAAGAAACTTAGCCAGTAATTTTAGATGTAAGTTTGTTAGTACTGTCTATCTAACCTAAGAACGCTTTTTGCCACAGAGTTAGGTACTGTCTGCTACTATGGGAAGAAAAGAAGAAAAAAAACTTTTTCAAAGAGAGAAATTTTTTTAGTTACATATTTCTTATTTTCTATCTTATGTTTTTTATCTGTGTAAACTTTTTTTATGTTTCAGTAAACATAAAGAATAATAGGGGGTTAACGAAAATATTTTGACTAAACAGAACATTTGACTTTTCAATAATACTTAAAACTTTTTTTATAGATATGTTAAAATACTAATTTTTTTAATGAAAGTGGGGGGGGGTACTCTGGTCTCTCTTGTCATTCTAAGTATAACGTTCTATATAAATGTTTTTAAGGCTAACACATGAATAATTTGATATGGGATTAAATTATGAAAAGTCAGAAATATTCAACACTTTCAGTAAGTTAATTTTTTGGATTACAGAGCAACAGCAAACCATAGGTGCAAAATTGGCACCTATTGTTTGTTGTTGCTTGCAGGGAATCTTATACTGCTGATATAGGATGCAGAATTTGGATAAATTAAGGGTTTAGGAATATGAATATACCTTATAGAGAAAAATCCTTGCTGATTTTGCATAAATCTTGATTTCTAACTTTAACATACCTGATTCATATTTACAAAAGTAAGTATGATATTCACTCTGTATCCTAAAAAAGAACCAAGTCTTGCAGTCCCAGGGTTCATTCTAGGCGGGGCACTCCCACATATTTAACGGGGAGGGGGGGCCTAATCGCGCTGTTTCTTTTTGGTAAATCCACGTGGTTTTCTGTTCGTTTTTTCGACAGAAATCGTGTTTCGGCCAGAATTAAGTTTTATTTTCCATATGGTTTTTCAAAATAATACAGGGCTTGATTATCGCCTGAGGCCCACACTTTCTGGGGGGCCTCAAAAATTAGTAAAAAGTCACTATTACTTTTTTTTAAAAAAAATACCGAAAGAAACAGTTAATCTCAAAAAAGGCATTTTTTATTTCAAATTTTCTTTATATCGTGATAAACCAAACTCGTGTAAGCATTGCACTAATCAAATTCGAAAGTACAGCTAAATTTAAATTGGTGCAAATCTTACTCAAACTGCTTGCAGTGCAAATGCAACGAGAATGCATATTCCCAAAGTCTCTCATAGTGTCAACAAGAACTAACATGTTCTTAACAAATATGTAAAGCTGTAGATGGAGGGCTACAATCTTTAAAACAATTCTGCTAACCAGTGACTTTTATCAAAATATCACTGATTTCAATTGTTTGTGATCAAACTATTTTTATTTTCATACAACTTTGTTTTGTTGTTTTATATTTTGCTTTTTAATATTTAGATGTCTAAACTTCATCATAGAAAAATAATCTTCAATTGTCTGCTTTCAAAATTTTCTAGAATGTTTCGCTCGAATCATGCAGTTCAGTAGATTCTTTTTATTGTTAGGACTATAAAATGAATCTAGAAGAGAAGAAGAAATTGTTAGGACTATGTTCTTCGGAAATTTGATTTCAAAATATTTTGTTAGATTCCCGGAAAATTTTGTGGGCCTGAATTTGTCTTGATCGGTCTCTGAAAATAATATAAATTACGACATGCATATTTTGAACTTGGGCACTTTTTTGAAGCGTTCGATTCGTGACATCATAATTGCGTCATTTCATGTTAATTTTTTTCAGCCCTTTTACATGTTTTTTTAAAATTCCGATAAGTTTAATAGGATGTTATCACTATTGGATGCATTCGATTCTATCACAATTTCTCGTCGTTTTATGTTAGATTTTCGTCAGTTATATACGTAATTTTATCGGCTTTTTTCACGTGGTTTTTCATATTCGATATTTTTAATACGATGTTATTAAGTCTTTCGAAATTAGAATTATGGTTATCTTTATTTAATACGTTTGATTCGTGACGATTCTATCGTATCCACTCACTGCATTTGATGATCGTTTCTTCGATAAAAGTTATTTGTCCTTTCTTTCGCCCCCCTTTTACATGTTCTTTTAAGTGTCGATATGTTTAATACGTTATCACGACTTTCGAATTTGAGTTATGACTATTTGATGCATTCGATTTGTGATGATAGTATCAAAATTTCTCCTCGTTTTGAAAGGTGTTTCGACAGTTATATATCCTTTTATCGTTTTTTTTTTTTTAAATTCTATATTTTTAATACAATACGTCGAATTTGAGTTATCACTATTTAATGTGTTCAATTCGTAACGATTCCATCTTAATTTCAGGTCGTTTGATGATAATTTTTTTCGAAAGCTGTCATTTTTTCTCATGGAGTTTCAAATTTGATATTTTTAATACGATGTTATGACGTGCAAATTTCGAATTTGCGTTATCACTATGTGATACATTCGATTCATGACGATTCCATCCCATTTCATGGCGTTTGATGAGTGCTTTTACGGAAGTTATTAATAATTTTTTCGGCCCTTCTGCATATGTTTAATGTGATGTTCAAAATTCGAATTATCATTATTTGATGCGTTCGATTCTATCACAATTTCACGCCATTTTTGATAGGTTTTTCGGCAGTTATTTATCATTTTACAGACCCCTTTCATTATAATTTCCCGTCGTCGGATTATATTGGGTCGTTCGGAAAGTTCGTGTAAATCTATAATACTAAATAATGAATCGGCACGAACTTTCCAGAAAACCAAATAGTTATTTTTGAAAATACTTATATAATTTTATCAGCCTTTTGCATGCGATTTTTATATCCCCCCCCCTCGATATTTTTATAAGATTGCTACGATTCCATCACAATTGTCGTCGTTTTCGGCTATTTTCGCTTGTTTTGTCTTATTCTGATAATTTTTATACGATGCTATTACAGCAAGCGAGTCGCTATTTAACATTCGCAATTTAGATCGATCGTTTTTTCGGCAACTGTTTGTCGTTTCTTAACTATTTCCTTGTGGTTTTTTCGATTCTGATGTAATTAATCATGGCTGACTAATTTTATATTTTAAGTAATCACTTTTCCACGCGTTTGATTCGTGACAATTCCATCGCCTTTTCGGCAGTCGTTACAATTACTTATCGTTTTTTCTTTCATTTTTAAAATATATATGATGTGGCATCGTTTTTAAAATATATATGATTAATAAGTTATTATTATGACGCACAACAATTACAAAATTTGAGAATTACGCTCATTTTAAAACTAATTTATAGAATGTGCGAATTTAACTGAGGAATTATTTTTGATTTACATTTTATCTTTAAAAAGATAAGATTTTTTTAAAGGTAAAATTTATAACTTTGCATATTTTGAGTATCTTAAAAAGTTATGCAAATATTTGTGAAAAATGCCCTTTTTAAGGTTTAGAATGAACACTGCAGTCCTCTGACATCATATAGCATGATGTGGCTAATGCCTCGAATTTGTTTTTCTAAAATTTTGTTCGTAACACAGTTGCTGTCTTATGCCACTGGTCAATATTGACAAGCCTATTTTAAGACAAAAGGAGTGCTCTTCTTGTTTTCCAGTGGCGCTATCTATGGCCAAGAATTTGACTTATGCCAGTTTTACAGGGAGACCACATTCACACAACATCCATCTACAGATCGTAATTTTGACCTGAACCAGAGCAAGATCAATCTCCGATCCAGTTGCCATAGAGGTATAAATTTGTTATGGCAACTTACATGGACTTTCGACAGATAGTCTTAGACCGTCACGGATCGAACTTCTACAACTGAAAATATATTTTAATTTCCGTAACAGTTTAGTTCATACTAGATTGAAAATTGATATATTTCTAAGTTAAGGTGAGAATAAACTTAAATTTGTACTTATTGTTCGATTAAGCATAAACTAAAGAATAATATATAACAGAATCAAATTTATATTTTTTTAAAATTAAGCAATTAACCAGTTGCCATAAAATGTTACCTTTTAAATTCAACTGAAAATTTAACTAGCATCGATGAAATTAATTTAAAATCGAGATATAAAAAAAAATAATCAGTCACATTTTGAAGCACTTCCGATGCAAGGAGGTGATAATATAAACATTTTTTACTTAAAACTGTCAGATACAGAGCTCCATCAAAAATTTAAAAGCTCTTTCTAGTCAGAAAATAGTCAAATTTTCCTAAGTGAAAAATGTTTTGACAAACTTATATAAAGTGGTTATATTTTAATAAAAGACATATAAAGATTTTGGATATATTTGATTGAACATATATTTCTTTGTACCACGCTCATGAACACATAAATGAAAATCTATCTGCATCACTGAAACAATAGTACATAAGGAGTTGTGATTTTGAGTAAAATTCTATAAATAAAAAAACAAGTCATTAAAGAGCAAATAAATTTTGCATTTTTCTATTTAGGTAAACATAAATTCA